GAAGGATCGCTGGAGTCCAGCAGGTCGAGGCTGTGGTGGCCGGAAGCGGCCACTGCACTCCAGTCTGGGCCACGGAGTGAGACTCCAACTCAAAAATAAATAAATAAATAAGTAACACTTGTTAACTTCTGCTATGTGCTGGACATAGCCTCCTCCAACTACCCTATAATGGAGGTGTTATTCTCCCTACTTAACAGAAGAGAAAACTGAAGTTCAAGGTGTTTGAATAACTTTCTCGAATGCCCCAGTAACAACAATAACATACAGGCGGTCCCTGACTTAGGATGATTTGACCTATGATGTTTTTTGTTTTTTTTTTTTGAGTTGGAGTCTCACTCTGTCACCCAGACTGGAGTGCAGCGGCCACTCCTGGCCACCACAGCCTCGACCTGCTGGGCTCCGGCGATCCTTCCGCCTCAGCCTTCCAAGTAGCTGGAACTACAGGAGTGCACTACCATGCCTTGCTAAGTTTTTTGATTTATTGTAGAGATGAGGTCTTGCCAAGTTGCCCAGGCGGGTCTCGAACCCACGGGCTCAGTCAATTCACTCACCTTGGCCTCCCAAAGCGCGGGATTACAGGCTGAGCCACCGAGCCCGGCTCTATTTTTAATTTTCAAAATAGTATTCAATAAATTACATGAGATAGTCAACATTTTATTTTATTTTATTTTTTGAGTTGGAGTCTCACTCCGTCACCTAGGCTGGAGTGCAGTGGCACACTCACTGCCATCCCAGCGTCGACCTGCTGGGCTCTCACGATCCATCCACCTCAGTCTTCCAAGTAGCTGGAAATACAGGCATGTGCTACCACATCTAGCTAATTTTTTATTATTGTAGAGACGAGGTCTCACCAAGTTGCCCAGGCTGGTCTCAAATCTGCCAGTTCAGTCAATCCACTCACCTCAGCCTCCCAAAGTGCTGGGATTACACGCTGAGCCCGGCCCAACACTTTATTATAAGATAGGCTTTGTGTTAGATACTTTTGCCCAACTGTAGGCTAATGTGTTGTGAGCATATTAAGAGCTAATAAGTTTGCATGATAACATGTATGTGCCAGACAGTCATCCCACAAACATCTCCTGAAGTGGGAATTATTGTCTCTCTTTTTTTTTTTTTT